TCGGCTTTTTCAGCGTGCCCCTGCGCGTTGTTCGGGTCCTGTTGCAGCCCTTGATGGTAGGCGGTCATTGCCTCGTCGAATTTGCCTGGAGTAACATGAGACAGGCAGGAAAAGGATGAAGAGGAGACGTAGCCATAGGCGCCGGCAGAGAAGGAAGGTCAAAGTCCGCCTCTTTGCATTTCGATTAAACCCTCCGCTTCTCACCTAGCGTTGCCAGAGCTTTTCCTTTCCTAAAATAGGCTTTGACCATATTTGGGCTCAATGCCAAGGCTTTGTTGCAGTCGTCAATAGCAGCTTCATATGCCAATATCATCATGTGCGCCGCTGCCCGATTGCCGTAAAAAGACGCTTCGTCAGGTGACATTGCGATAGCAAGACTGTATGCATCGATGGCAGCACGATAATCCCCCTTTTTATAGAGTTCATTGCCTTCGTCTTTCCTGTAAATCGGTAGCGGGGAAAGAGAGTCAGAAGTAGACGCAGAATTGTGTGCGAGGAGGTAGCTGAGGGCAGGAAATGCCTCCTGACCACTTTGCAAGAAATGCATATTTCCTTGTGACACATCGACACCATCCTCAGGATAAACTTGCAGGGTTGTCGTGAAAAAGAGGGACCCAGTGGCAGACGCAGGAGAGGGTGTACACCGAGGAGGGAGGAAAGGGCACCGCCAACAGTATGCAGGTGATCGACGTACCATTGAGCTGCTGTTTTGACTGTGGATACCTCGTCATCCCCCATGACAACGCGAGTTCCTACTAGTGATGGTTAAGCATAGAATATGTTTTTTGGTAAGTTTTTCAGAATTTGAAGACAAATAATCGATGGAATAAAAACGGAGAGCGGAGGGCTTGGGCGCTTGACAGAGAAGCCGATGAGCCTTCGCGCAATATTTTTGACCGAACAACATGGCTGTTTCCCTCTTCGACCGTATCAGACATGCTTCACGGAATCAGGGCATTGATTCGCCCTTTTTAATGATAGGACATTCGTTTATGTCTTTCACAGTGATGAGCACCTGGAGAGTCTTACAGATCGAACCCTTTTCATTGTAAGGCATGCTTTATTCGCTGACGTGGCGACCTGCCAACTAACGTGCTGTAGGTCGTGTACCATATCAAAATGACTGTTGCGCCGTCGACTCAACAGCCAAATGAGCAGATGACATTGCTGCTAGGATAACTTTCGTATGGAAAGCAATTAATTCATGTGGATAAATGTGCACCCGTCTCTGAAAATAATGATTACTACACGCAAAACTTCATCTTTCGAATGAAAGGACTCAAAGCAATCCTTAAAAGCAACAAATAAGCACTATAATTCGTGACCAAACTTGTACTTTGCTTTATCTTTATCTTCTATTCACAAGATAAGGAATGAGGCTTGCTTGAGAATGTTGAGCTCCGGATTTTTGTCAAATCATAACCAAGTGTAACATATTTCACAGGCCAACGGGACCCGCCGTAGGACAAGAGGTTCGAAGGGGGTGAAAGTACGACAACTATGGACCTTTAGATGCTTTTAGCGCGGCCATGCCGTATACGTAAAGTCAAAGAGCGGGAAAGCGTTCATAAAGCATGACGATTGATAGAATAAACCTGTCATTCGGTTACCATTTAACGCCAACAAACAGCTTTTTGCTTGGATGTTACAGCTGACTGAGGAAATAAAGATGAATTTTTACTTCCATGTCATTTATATCTTCCAATATTTGTTCCGGAAATGACAGCTAATGACTTTTTAATCGACCTATTTCAAGAGTCTATCTGGACCTGAAACGGCGAACATTTGAAATTTCAAAAAATCTGTCGCCCTACCTACTTTTACTTTTCAGGAACTAGAACAGCCTTCCTTCTCGTACCCGTCTCAGAAGGTCGCTCTTGGCGACAGGGTGTGACTAAAACAGCTTTTCCCAGATCCTTGTTGGTTACATGCTGTGTGCTCGCCTTGGCGTGCTAATATTTTTTTGTGCCTTGAAGACAACCAATCCCTGAAGGAACAAAGGAGACTTTGCTCGGGATCAGTACAATTTTCGTGTAGGTATCCGCAGAAATGAAACGATCGGCATCATTCATAGAGTTGGAGTTGTAGACATAACATCTGACGCAGACAGATGAGAGGGATCCTTTTTTGTCCATGGGCTGTACTCACGTCTTATGGAGCATTATCCTCCTCACATTGCTACTTCCTATATCACACCCATCCACGCATATCCAGCGAGGTCTACTTCCTCAGTAATGGCACCACGCGATGAAGAAACTGTTATGAGCCCAGGAGGCGATCCTACCGTGAAGGACCCCCTTGCGGAAGCCGTGAGTCAGATGCCACCGCCCAATTCTATCAAGAAGAACGAGCTATGGTACATCCACGGGCGAGCTTATGACCTTACTGATTTCATCAACAAACATCCTGGTAAGCTGCATGTAAGATCAGAGCATTTGTAGGCTTTTTAGTCCTTCCAGATCTACGCACGTAAAGAGAGATTAGAAGGGAAAGCACCATGTGGTGAAAAAAGGTTGGACGTTGATATGTCTCGCTACCTTCATCCTGTGGCTTGCCAACGCCTTTATGGCAGCGTTGATGATCGTATCATAATGACTGATAAGGGCTTTTTAAACGCGCGCCCAAATATCTCTTCGTACCTTCACCTCTCTATCGTGTTTCGATGAGCTTCCTCTGTGCTGCTGACCCACCAAGATGCAGCACATTTTTCTCGTGATACATTTCCCACTTTTCATTTATTACGTCTTTTTGCTTGACCCTCGATTTCCCCCTACTCCACGCCCTCGCAGGAGGTCCCACCGTACTTCTCAACACTCAAGGACGGGACTGCACAGCGCTTTTCGAGGCTTTCCATCCGTTCACGGACCGGCCTGCAAAGCTCTTAGCCAAGATGAAAGAGGTATTGACGGAGGAAAGGGGTTCAACACGGCAATCGAGCTTCAATGTGTCTGGCTCTTGATCCGTGTCGTGATGTCATTTCCATTCCTGGTGTCCTGATCACGTTCTCATGTCTCCCTTTCCTTGCGAAAACACCCTCTGGCATGCTCTAGGTCAAGGTATCGCCCGACATTTTGGCAGAGAAATGCACGGACATTTCTCAGGGCAACTGGTTCTACTTGCCGGACGGTACGCCGGATCCTTTCTGGGCGGCCTTGAAAGAGCGATGCGGGAAGTACATGAAAGAGAACAAGGTGGAACGCACCATGAAGTGGTCCACCCTCCTTCTGCACGTCTTTCTGCTCATGATCCAGCCTCCCCTCTGGTGGTTTGGGTACCTTGATGCCTATCCTTGGTATTCGCACGCCGCGGCGGTGGCCATGGGCGTCACCACGTGGATTGCCGGCCGCCTGGGTCATGACGGGGGCCACTTCGCCATCTCGCACCACTATTGGATCAACCGCTTCTTTGGAAATTGGGCGGGACTGGGGCTGAGTAACATGTCGTACTGGGAGATTCTCCACAACGTGGACCATCACACGGACACGAACACGGAGAAAGACCCGGACTTGTATCACTACGTCTACTTCCTCCGCGACCACCCCCGCTACCCGTGGTACATATTCCACCGTCTGCAGGTGGCGAGGATATATTGCTACGCCGTCTGGAGCTTTACCACGGCCGGGTTGCTGATGATCGAGCCGATGAATATGCTCTTGACGGGCTCGGGGACCCGCCCGCCCACCGTGCGACTGGCTAAATTTCGCTTCTTTTTCTGGGCTAAACTGGTGTTTCACATGCTGCTCTTTCCGACCGTGATGCTGGGCATCCCCATTTGGTTGCTTTGGGACAGCAACCCGAACAAGGGCGTGGTCATTGCCGTGCGTTTCGCCTCCTTTGTCATTTATTGCGCCGTCACGGGCGTGCTTTTCGGACTCTTTTCCCAAGTGAACCATTTCTCAGAGGATTGTGTGGCAGCAGCCTCCCGCAATACCTCCTGGGCGGTCCGCCAGGTGGAGACTGCGGCAAACTTTTGCGTGGATTCCTCCTTTTGGTCCCTCATTACGGCGGGGATCCACATCCAGATCGAGCACCACTTGTTCCCTGGTCTGTCTTCTGACCGGGTCCTCCCTCTGGTTCCCATCGTCGAGCAGACCTGCAAGGAATTTGGGGTCAATTACAAGAACTTCAAGACGTTCCCTTCCATTCTCAGTTCTGTGCACGCCTACATTGATACCTTGGCATACCGTGTCCCACGGCCCGCTGCGAAGCCAAAGAACGCGGAGAGCACCGCGGTGGAAGTGGCGGAATAGGCAAAATGCCGCAGGAAGAGAGCTGAGCACGAGATTGGAGCAATGAAAATGCTTTATGTTCATAATCATGGGTGGTGCCCAAAAGAGAGGAGGAAAAACTGAAGAGCGGTGCACACAATTGGGATGCTGTCACGGGAACTAAGATCAGATAGAGAAAGTGTAAGATGTCAGGAATCTTATTCTGACCAGGAGAGGGCGTGCAAATACATGAAAGGGGTGTTCACGGGGATCAGGAAGGCAAAGAGTGAGGAGCAGACGCTGTGAAACCGAGCTCTAAAAGCAATGTCGCTTTCCTTCCTTCTACCCCCACTTCATTCTCCACGGGTCAAAGTGTGTAAGGCAAAAGATTAAAGACCGCTATGAAAATGAATTGGTGGTCAGAGAGGAGCATCAGCATGTGTAGAAATCCATGTGAAAAGACAAGGCAGATGGCGAGTGAGAGGGGTCTCACTCGTACGCATGCATATGACCGGCATCAACTCGATTGTAGAAATGCGTGCCACTAATTTTGTTTCCAATCTGAAATTGGGATCGCCCGGATCCAGAAGTGGAGAAGGAATGAAATCGAGACTTTAAACAATCGACTGAGAATCGTCGCTTTGCATCGTCAAACCTCCGATAGGTCTTCCATTCGATCTTATCATTTTCGAAGGGCTTGCTTGTACATATGTTGCATTCGCCTCTTAATATTGTTGCCCCTCCTCGGCTTTTCTGCTAGCCTTGCATCATGCCTCGCACTCACGCATCGTCTTTCTCTGCTCTTATTACACACGCTTTTTTTCGCCGACGTGAACCCTTACGTGAACCCTTTAGCGATGGACCGCAACAAAGTATCGTCCTCTGAAAATTCCTCTAGACTCAATCCACTCAGCTACACGCGCTCCCCTACCCCGGGTCCTGGCCACGCCAATCGACCTTCGCTTTCGAGTCTTGCAAACGCCAAGGGATCCAAGGCCGCCGCGAGCATCACCTTGTTGATACAGCTGTGCTCGTTCCCCTTCTCCCGCAATTCCACAGGGACCACCACGTCCAACGCCTTTTCCGCCGCCATTCTCACGTTGTCCTTCCCTTCCACCAACCGCCCTCCCATCAGCGCCCCGTACAACCGAAAGGGCAGGAGCATCCCCCTCGACACCTCCAAGGCCTCTGGCGCCAACACCGCTAGACGTGTCCTCACGGGCTCGGCCCATGCACCCAGCATTTGCGCTTTCCAACACAACAGGCCCCACCCTAAACCGTCACTAGAAACCCGCAAACCCCTCCCACCCTGCATGTACGCCGCTGCCAACACTTCCATATCCGCCTGTTCGGCAACAATGGGACTCAGCGAGCGTTCCTGACTACCACCGGCTTCCTCCGCCAGTTCCTTGCGACCCCCTCTTCCCTTCTGGATAGCCTCTGCCTGGCGCTGTCCTCTTGTGTGAGGATCCCCAGTACGAGTCCCCCGTCCCTGCTCTCCCCGGCGTTCGCCCTCCTGCATGACCAATGAGTAAACCACCCACCCACTCAACGCGTCCTCGGACGGGGCCATATCCTCCAACCCGGAAATCACCGACATGTCGGTTCCTACCTTCCAGTAGACTCCACGGGGAGCCCCCCGCTCGCCTCCCCCCCCCCTCACCGGCCGAGCGCTTGGCCCACCAGGCGGACGACGCGAGCCTTGCGAACGGCGCACAAAATACGGATGGATCGTCTTGATCAATGTCTCTGCTTGCGACAGGTACTTGTCTCCCTGGCCCGACCCGCGAAAAGCCTCGCAGGCTTGAGAAAGGCGGAGCAAGGCAAAGATCCACTGCAAGAGTCATGCCAAGAGAGGGATAAACAATACGAGATACAGAGAAAAGGAAACCAGGATGATTTCCCGAAATTATGAAAGGAGTGGCACCTTCATCCTCCCCCGAAGGGAATCTTCAAGGGCGAGACACCCACTCTCTATTCTTCGCGCTCACCTTATCCAAGTAGTGGAAATACATGCCGTCAAAAGCCATGCCAGCGTCACTCTTGCCCCCCGGCATCGCCCGCGTTTTCCCGATCCGCAAACCTACGTATTCATTCGGCGTCTGTGCCATCTCAGCCCTGTCTCCGCCCTCCTTCTCCTCAGCCAGCTCCGACCCCACCTGTCTTCCCTTTCCTGGTAGCATTGTGTACGCCGGGCCCCGCGGTTGGCCGAGTGTTGCGTGCACGGCCCCCACCAAGGACTCTGCCGTCACCAGCAAGCGTTCTCTCCTGTATTTTTCCCCGTTTCTGGAGGTATTGCACCGCATGGCCAGGCCCACAAAGCAAAGCACTCCCCACGCGTCGGTCCACAAATAACGTCGTTGGCATAATCCCTTCCCGTACGGGACCATTGAAGGACCCGCCTCCGTGGCTGGCATAGGCTTTGGGAAATGAAAATAGGGATCTTCCCAGTCTCCATAAACCTCTTTGAGGAGACTGATCATGGCCTGTGAGTAAGGCAGAGCCAAAAGGGTCAAGAGCGTCGGGGGATGCACGTTGTTGATCCATTGCGACGAACCGATGTCCAACAATGTATGCAAAGGAGGAGCTATACCGGAACGATGAATAAATTGTACTTAAATGCTGATAAATATCGATTTTTGGTAGCCCGTAAGCTAAGCTACTTGCTTCTACATGTTCTGCAAAACCTCCTCGTAAGACATACCTGACTGTGTCCAACATTTTCTTTCAATATCGCACGGGCTTCGGCGTTGCTCAGCATTGCAGATGGCAAACGAGATCCACACGTAAGGTGTGCCTGATTTTGTTTGTTGTTTGTACTGGCTGCGGCAAAACGAGAAGGGAAGTCAAGTGGAGGAGTTTTGGAATAATTTTGTGTTGATGTTGAGGCTAGGAAATAGGAGGTCGTGGCAACCACAAAAACGCTTCTTTTTGTCCGTCGCAGAGGCTGTCGAGGAAGCAAGCGCATGAATTGAAATACCTCCACAAGCCTGCCGTACCCCAAAAGGCATTCGTGAAGTGAGTGTTCTGTTGCACGGTAAGTTCCTGAGCATATATTTTACCATCCGTCTTGGCGATCCTGCTTGCTTTGCCGGCTCCCCGCTGTTCATTAAACACCCATCCATAAATGACGAGGGGAATCGTGCAGCCCCGGTGGTTGGGCTGAGTGCCTTTTTTCATCGTAATGATGTGTTTGTGTATGGTGGACGAAAGGCACGCCACGACCGGGGAAGGTCGTGGGGACAGGGCGCTGCAACCACAGAGGCCCCCTCCTCTTCAAGCTCAACTCCCACCCCTGTCCATGGTAGATTGCTTGTCAAAACCACACCGCTATTCCCCACGTCATGTTGCCGTTCCCTTCCACGCTCACTCACAATATTCCCTTGCACGACAGAGGTGGTCATGAGGACAAGAAGATTCAGCGGCCTCGTCTTTGTGGGCGTCATGTCAGGCTTCTTGCTGGACTGTCGAGTACGGGTACGTGCGTTGCCAGACCGCGTCTATTTTTTCTCCCTTTCCCAGCGTTTCTCGAATAAACAAATGGCCGGTGCAGCACATAATTATTCGAGTAGTGTGTGTACCTTATTCTATGTCCATGTCTTTCTGGTGCGGAAGGTACATGTGCTGACGCCTCTACGGTTTCTATATCCTTGCTTAACCTGTACCCTTACTTTCGGCCTAACATTTGCTCCTTGACACCTCACACATCGTGCTCAACTCAACCTCTTCACAGGGATTCGTACCTGCCACTCCGATCCTTCCATCCAGCGCACAAGTCTGCCGTCACTGGAACAGTGTCACTCCTCGCCCGGGCGCCCTTCCTCCCTACGATGCCCCTTACTCCCAACCTGAGGAGGAAAAGAACTTCTGGGGGAATGACTACGTGCCAAAGCAACGACACCCGGGAACCATGCCACCGGGTACACGTCTGGAAGACAAGCCCATCGAGGAGTTATCCCCCGTCTCCAACATCCCTTACCCGCATTTCCAAGAGTGGCCATTTCACTATCGGTTCCCAGCCTACCAACCCCGGCGCTTGGATTTTATCGAATGGATGACACAACGAGGCCTGATGGTAGAAGATGACGGGGATACACGCGGGGTCCGGTTTTTGGGTCGAAAGCGACGCTTTCGCGCGCAAAAAGCGCAGGCAGACAAGGCCGCCGCCGAGGGGAGTGACCCGATGACTCCGGACGAGAGAAAGCAAGCGATGGAGGGCATTGACGGGGACTACTGGCGCTCGGAGGGCGCAGAATTGATCGAACCAGAGCCTTACCTCTTCGAAATGGCCAAACATAAACGGGAGCGTGTCCCTTACATTGTGACGGTTCGAGAGGCCAAAGCGGCGAAATTAGCGGCCGAAGCTGCGGCGGGAGGGGGGGAGGTTATCCCGGGGACGGGAAAGGGGGGAGGGGGAGTGGAGAAAACTGCCAAAGGAGGAAAGAAGGCCAAGCAGCCACCATCCGCTGAAATCTAAACAGAGGGTGTGGGGGTTACACGGGAGGCGCGTTTTGCTGGTACAATCAGCCCCCTTGCAAAGAGTAATGAAAATAAAGTATGCCAAAGCCAGAGCTTTTCCAGTGAACGAGGGACCATTCTTGATCTACAGGGACGCTCAGTTTCTTCTTTCTTTGCAAAATTGGTATCCGGGAAGCCTCCCTCCCCCTGTCTCCACCCTCCCTGTCCATTCCTCCCCCTCCTGTAACCATCCTTCATACCTGCCCTCCCCCTCCTCCCTCTTAACCCCTCCCCCCTCTGCTCGTCTCTCACACCGCTTGGAGCAAGACGGCGATGCCCTGGCCGCCCCCGATGCAGGCGCTTCCCATCACATAGCCTTTCTTTCCCCCCTGCTGGCCCTTCAACCCATTCGCCAAGTGGGCGACAATCCTCGAGCCAGAGGCGGCCAAGGGGTGGCCCAAGGCGATCGCCCCTCCGTGCACGTTCGTCTTGCTCATGTCCAGCCCCAACTCCTTGGCGCAGGCGAGGAACTGGGCGGCAAAGGCCTCGTTGATCTCGATCCGATCCAGGTCCGCCAAGGCCACGCCCGAGACAGAGAGGGCCCCACGGATCGCCTCCACAGGTCCGATCCCCATGATGCTGGGATCGCAGCCCACCCGCGACCAGGCAACCACCCTGGCCAAAGGCTCCAGCTTGTGGGCGTGCACGGTGTCCTCCGTGGCAAGGACCAGGGCCCCGGCCCCGTCGGCGATCCCACTGGCGTTGGCCGCTGTCACCAGCCCGTCTTTTTTAAACACCGGGTTGAGTTTGGACATCTTGGCCAGCTCCACCTGCGGCCGCGGGTGCTCGTCCACGGTGACCAAGTCGATGCCCTTCTTCGTCTTTACCTCCACTGGCACGATCTCCGCCTGGAGGGCGCCCCTTTCTTGGGCCTTGGCCCATAAGTGCTGAGAGCGAAGGCCAAATTCGTCGCATTCCTGCCGGGTAATTCCGTACTTGGCACCCAGGTTCTCCGCCGTGATTCCCATGGGCGTGCCAGCCAACGAATCCGTGAGACCAGCCCACAGGGAATCCTTCATTTCGGGTCCTTTCCCCAAGGGTACCCCCCAGCGCACACTGTTCCCGTCGACTACAAAGGGTGCGGCCGACATGTTCTCCGTGCCTGCCGCCAGGGCAACCGAGGCTTGGCCGAGCTCCATGGCTTCACAACCCATGATGACCGTTTCAAAGCCACTGCCACACAAGCGGTTGATCGTCAAAGCAGGGACATGTTGGGGGACGCCGGCTTTCAAGCCCATGTGCCTGGCAAGGTAACATGCGTCATTGGAAGACTGAATAACGTTCCCTGCGTACACGACATTGACCGCGCTAGGATCAAGCTTTGCTTGGCACAGAGCCGCTTTAGAGGCCAAATAGGCAAGTTCGGTGGCGGAAAAGTTCTTAAGTTTACCTCCAAAAGCGCCTAACGATGAGGCAGAGTGAAGGAAAGGGAGAAAAAACGTCTTTATGGGATCGCATGCACACATGTTAGGGCACACTTAACGATATGCACCTACCGAACGGCGTGCGTTTAGCACCGACAATGAAAAGTCCCTTACGGGCAGCAAAAGATGAGGCAGACATATTGATGGTGCCTCTCCTGAAGAGCCCGTCTTCTAGCTGTGGCAAGGCTGAGGAAGGCCATAAAATGAGACTTCATGAACTGGTAAAAAGAACAAAGAAGACTAAGCCATCATGTCATGGATGCGAGTAGATATGGACGATAAGATGACGCTTTCAAACAGGAGCACTGCAAACAGGCTTCCCAAAAGAAAACGCATGTTGAAGAACTTTTGTCAAAGAGGGCAGAGGCGCCGCGTTCCTCCTGGCACCGTGCTGCAAGTTGGAAAGCCAGTTGACAAGGTCCTCCGCACCCACACGGCACCATTGTCCACGGCATCGTTGACATCAGCAGCCCATGCCTG